TCCCCTCCCCTCCCCTCCCTTCTCCTCTCCTCTCCTTTCCTTTCCTTTCCCAGGAACATCAGGGCAACTGGGGCTCATCTCATATTTCTTCGCATCCTCCTATGTGGCCTTCAAGCAAGGGAAGAGGATGCAAGTGTGGCTGGAGCCAATAATACCTTCCCTTTCCCCACTCATGCTGAAGGCACTGCTTAAGTTAGTATAGGGCAACTCCAGCTTACCTGGCCCAGACAGACTGCATCTGGCAGGGGAGACACAGTCAAGAGGTTTAACACTGTCTTGTTTTGTTTTCTTCTAGCCTTATATAATCCTTATAGAATAACTTGTGCAAAGACATTAGCAAGAGAGTAAGCTAAAAGTTAGGAAATACGTGTGTTGTCCCCCTCTCCCTCCCCACGCATCTGTCGGCAGCCAGCAAACAGCCTGACATACCCTGGATGGATGGGTGTGCCCTGTTGACACAGCTTCAAAGAACATCAACCATAAGGAAGCAATTTCACCCATCTCCCCAAAGACACCTGGGAATGATAAAAGTGACAAGAAATGGCACCAGGGACTCTTTCTGTATACCACTTGCCTTCACTTGGTGCAAAATAGACCAGAATGTACATGTGTTCAGAAAGAAGCCAGACTTTCCCAAAAGTCATTGGAAGACCACAGTTGAGCAGCCCATAGACACTCTTCGATGGTGCTGGCCTGACCTACCTGTCTTAGGTCCAGAGTGATTGTGACCCAGTGATACTCTCTCCCATTCTGAATGCTGGGACTTTGCCACCAGTTATTGGTGCCATCTATGGCATGTGATATTGGATGGCGTTCTGTTAAAAGAAAATAAAAAACATGAATTCCTCTCAGCTCCTGCTTTATATTTCTTAAGTTCTAAACCATAATGCTAGTGGAAACAAAGAGCAGTGAAGGTGAACACAATGTTTATGGCTTCCTAATAGAAGTCTCAGTCCTCATTTCACAAAGTGTACATTCCCACGGAAATTTCAGAAACGAAGGCACGACACTTGCCTCTGGGGTTCGCACTGTTGCCATCACAGATCCGGCACTGTGGGTTTCGGACGGGCCGACCCGGCACATGCTCCACAAGTTTGCAGAACATCTCGGGCCCCTTCTCGCCACAGGTGGCATTGGTACTGATGTCAGCGTTGCTGGCAAGATTGAGAATGGCAGGAAACAGGCCTGAAAGTGAAAATTCACCAAATCAGCTGAGCCACTTGAAATCCAGAGAATGAGCTTACCCCATCCCACTTGGTAGGTGAATCAAAAGGAGACTGAAAGTCTATGTGCTGAATGAAGGAATCCTCACACAAACACAGGACACCAGCACGGTTTCAGCTATATGAAATTCTAGGAGAAGCAAAATTCATCTATGGGGAAAAGTCAAAACATTGTTGCAGGGGGTAGGGATTGACTATGAAAGGACAGAGGAACTTTCTAGGGTAATATGTTCACATCTCGATAAAGCTTTGGGTTTCACAGGCAGATGCAGTTGTGAAAAATCATAGAATGAGTACACCTAAGATTTGGGTAGATCTGTGTATCTCAGTACGTGCACATTCTACCTCAAAAAAACAAAATAAAAGAATCATAAACAAATACCAATGTACATGGGGAAATGTTTAGGAGTAAAATATACTTATGTCTCCAAACCACTTCGAAAGGCATCACAAAGTAAGCTGGCTTCCAATGATATGCCATCTCACACTAGTCAGAATGTCTATTACTAAAAAGTCAAAAAACAACAGATACCGGAGAAACTGTGGAGAAAAGGGATCCTTATATACTGTTGGTGGGAGTGTAAATTAGTTCAGCCACTGTGGAGATCGTGCCACTGCACTCCAGCCTGGGCAATAGAGCGAGACTCAGTCTCAAAAAAATAAATAAATAAAAATCAAGGCAAGAGTATGGGTGTTCACTGTACAATTCTTTCCACTTTTCTGATTGAAAACGTTTACAATAAAATGTTGTGAAACAGGCTTTAGGGGAAGTTGCAAATGACCAATGCATACATTTATCAATGCAATTCAAACACCTATCACTGGAAAGAAGGGCATTTATTCTGTCCTCACTTTGGTCCAGTTCCCTCTGGTAGTATTTACAAGGTCTTTTCTATAATTATCTAGGATTTTATTTTTTTGTCTCTCTCTCTTCTCTTTCTTTACTCCTGTTTTCTTTGGTGAATAAAATTTTAGAACCCAAAGATCCAGTTTTCAAAATGCTTTTCAAGTCATTATTGATCTCTGCCTTCGTACAGTTTCTTTGTCTCAGCTGATTTTATCTTTAAGCAGCCAAGATCAGTACCAGGTCCAAACTATTCAGGAAATAATTTCCGGGTGACTGTGAGAAAAGTCCCTCCATTCGGTTCTTTGGAGGTTTAACTTTATCTTGGTAAAAGGGGACAGCAGCAGTGAAGACTCTATGAAGATACAGAAACGATGGTGTGACGCGACGTTGAAGAGGCGTTCTCCAGGCATGCACACTGAGCTGAGAGCATACTCCAACGGTCTCAGCTCAGTGGCGTTTCTCTAACATACTACGACTCGATCTTAAAAGATCACAGAATATAAAATCTTTTCTTTGTGAAAACCATATAGAAATACCATTACTGAAATGTTTATTTTTCAGTGAAATTGAAAATAGCACAGTGCAATTTTAGTTACACAGAAGGAATTCATGGCTTCAATTGTTATTTTTTAGGCACTGCCTAATACATTCAAAGATCTTTTCCATTATAAATATTTTAAATTTTAAATTATAAAACAAAAATGGTTCTTTTTCTAACACTTGCTACACTAAAAAACTTACCATGCATCTATTTAAAAAAAATTAGGTAGTCTTTCAAAACCTTTTTACATAAAACAGAACTCCCTATTAATGATTCTACTCAAATAGAAGGACCCCATTCTGTCAATAAGTCCTTACCCTCTCAAGATAAAATGGTTATTTAATATTTGTACTCTAAAGCATTATTCTTAATTTTGAAACATAACATGGACTTACATCATATACTATGTTTAATATATTTATTTTCATTTTTAACTTAAAGATGCTTATTTTTATTATATCCCTGTCAAGGGACTTCTTTTCTTAATATAAACTAAGAAAAAAATGCTTTATGAGGAACCAGATGAGGCATTATGTTTAATCACGCAGCTCCCCAATTTATTATTTTCATCAAGCAGTAGTCAGACAGTTATATTTTATGTAATAATGGAGCTCCTACAGTAACATATACATTCTTATATGTGGTACTTACCTGTAGCAGGGGCTGACATTTATTCTATTTGGTACTAAGATAAATAATAATTTCCTCCATCCTTTATGACCATAACATTCTAGTATTCTGATTCAAATTTCTCTTATGAGCTAATCATTTAAAATAAAATATGCTCTCAAACTATGGCGTTTTGTCCAAACAGCTAAAATGACATTTTTTGGTTCTGTATTACATACACGCATTTAGATTTATAGTACAATCAACTTTATCCATTCCCTTCACACAGACTAGTCAAGCAAGAAAAAGAAACCAAGGTTACAAGAACTGACTTCACAAGGCATTTCTCGATTAACAACAAATACTTCACCACTTAATGAATGTTCCCACTTTCTCCTTGTTCACCCCCACCAGTTGCAGGACATCAGAAGAACTCCCCACTACCCCCCAATCTGAGTAACTGCAGGGTCTTCTTATTGAGAGGGGAGGGGGCCAGGGAGTCATGGGGCCCCACACACTATCTCCACCGGAGTCTTTGCCCTGAGCCACTGAGGAAAAGCAGCTCAAACCTCATGAACATAAATTTACCTGTTTTTGGAGAATAATATCTCAGTTATAGTAATGAGCATCAGATAGTTCTTTGCACT